CTTTCAGAGGTGATTACGAAACTTCCTAATCTTACCAGAGGTGATTACGAAACTTCGTAATCTTATCAGAGGTGATTACCAGACTTCCTAATCTTATCAGAGGTGATTACCAGACTTCCTAATCCTTTCAGAGGTGATTACGAAACTTCCTAATCCTTTCAGAGGTGATTACCAAACTTCCTAATCCTTTCAGAGATGATTATCAAACTTCCTAATCTTATCAGAGGTGATTATCAAACTTCTTAATCCTATCAGAGGTTATTACCAGACTTCCTAATCCTATCAGAGGTGATTACCAGACTTTCTAATCCTTTCAGAGGTGATTACCAAACTTCCTAATCTTATCAGAGGTGATTAACCAAATCCCTAATCTGTCAGAGATGACTAACCAACTCATTTCTAACATCAGATGTAATTACTTAACTTCATAGTAAGCTTACTTGTTCCCAAGTAATTTACTATCATTAGTTATGGTAATTTACCCACGTGGGTAGGCAAGGAGGTGCGTTGGAACCCACTAAACTCCCCCCATATATATGTATAAAACATTAAAAGGCGTAAAAAAAAACTGCCTCAGATACCATCAAAATTCATAAATTTCAGTGGAAGTTTAAAACGTTTTCTGGGGGGACATGCCTCGACTCCCCAGTATGGTTTTGCTACCGATTTCCTTCTTATCTTTGTCCAAAAGTAGTACTACCTTGTATATATATATATATATATTTGCCTAACACCCATGATTTACTCACTCAATAACATTACAGTTTTTTTTATATTCTTTCATATTCTTACTATCAGGTTTCAGTACTCAACCTCTTAATAAAATCCCACAATTGTGGTTAACAACAACAACAACAAAAAAAAAGAAATCAGGAGAATTAGCAACATCTAAACGATTGGAGACTTCCGAAGAGTTTTCACCGAAGACCGCTTGACTACAATAACAGCCGTCCAGTTTGTGCTTTCAGGTCAGATTAATTACACCACTTTTCAATTTGATTCACATCGAATAACGGAATAAAGTAAAAACATTTTTTTAAAAGAATTATAAGTGGTACATTTTAATGTAAACAATGTTGAAATTTAAAAGTTAACTCGATATCAACTATCTTAAAAAGAAATTAAAGTTGGTGAGCTCAAACCGACTATAAAGTAAAAGTCTATAAAATTAAATACAAACTTTTTAAATCAATAAACATTTCTATACAGAACTGTTAAAAGAGTTGAAAAGCGTGAAAAAAATAAATAATACATTACAACTTAAAATAAAAAATTACCGGTTTTGTTTTTCAAGTGCAAGGTTAAAATTGCAAAAGCAGAATTTTCATGATTACAAGTAAGAGAAATAAAGTAAGTTTGATAGTTTTTCTGGTTACACATTTCTAAGCCTCTCAGAGAGAAAACATGGCAGTAATAAGATTTCATCTGCACAGGAAGTTATAACAATAATATCCGAGACTTCTTGTGGTAATCATGCATAACACAAAACATGCATGACTTTGAACGAGCAGGTGCAGGGAGAGGGCAGAAGGTGGAGGACTCACCCGTCTTGCTTTACTTTGATACCTGACTGCTTTCTTTGTGTCTCTCTTAGCAGCGTCAATATAATCCACAGACTTTTGTACATTATATTCTATCCGATCTATCATCTCTCCCTGGATTGGACAACCAAGTATGAGTTACTGGTTCAATAACAACTAAACACACGATAATTGGTAATAAGTTGCTTCTAAACAATTGGATTGATTAAAACATTAATAAGGCGTTAGATGATTGGTTGAAAAAACAATCAATATAAAGGTAACCCTGACGTTACTAGGGGTTGAGGAAGTCACGTATGATGATACGACAAAGGTAAGCTTTGTTGTAAATTCTTGTTTTGACTCAAATATCGTGAAATTAAAAAAAAACGGAAAAACATACTTTTCTCTTTCTCTATTTAAATGGTGTGAGAAATCAGTCAAACAAACAGGTATAAAGGTGGAGAACTCAGTCAAACAAACCACCTTTATACCTGTTTGTTTGACTGAAGAACTCAGTCAAACAAACAGGTATAAAGGTGAAGAACTCAGTCAAACAAACAGGTATAAAGGTGAAGAACTCAGTCAAACAAACAGGTATAAAGGTGAAGAACTCAGTCAAACAAACAGGT